CGTGAAGGCGTGCCTTCCCCTCTCCTCATAGTCCCCAATACTCAGAGGTTGAGGTGGGAGGAGTTTGAGGCTGCACTGAGCTACGATAGCGAGACTACTGCACTCTGGCCTAAAACATACATGCATGCATGCATGCATACATACATACATACATGTAAATAAATAAATGTGAAAAGAAAACTCACAGAATTGGAAAAATATTTTCCAATCATACATCTGATAAGAGTACATCTTGTCTAAGAATGTATAAAGAATGCTTACAACTCAATAATAAAAAGATAACTCAATTTAAAAATGGGGAGAGGATTTGAGTAGACATTTCTCCAACCAAGACAGACAAATGGCCGATAGGGATATGAAAAGATGTTCAACATGACCCATTATTTAAGGAAATGCAAACGAACCCATAATGAAACACTACTTCACACTCACTAGGATGGCCATAATTAAGACAGACAGAAAATATCAAGTGCTGGCAAGGATGGAGAGAAATTGGAACTCTCCTTCACTGTTTGTGGGCATGCAAAAAATGGGACTGCCAATTTGGAAACTCGCCTGACGGTTCCTGAAGAGTTTAACCTCAAGTTACCACATGACCCGGCAATTCCATTCCTAGTGGTATTCCCAAGGGAAATAAAATAATGCCCACAAAAATGTGTGCATGAATGTTCAAAGCAGCATTAGATACAATATTCAAAAACTGAGAAGAACAAATATCCATCAATGAATGAATAAATAAGTAAAATGTGGCAGATCCATACGATGGAATATTCTTTGTAAATAAAAGGAATGATGTACTAACTCATGCTATAGCCTTGAAAACATGCTAAGGACACAAAAGACAACACATGACATTATTCTGTCTTTATGAAGAAGTAAATCTGTAGAGCGAGAAAAGTAGTTCAGTGGTTGCCTGGGGTGGCTGTGTGAGGGATAGGAAGTTACAGCTAGTGTCCTCATGGGTCTGGAGTTTCTTTTTGGGGTGATAGAAATGTTCTAAAATTGAATGTGTGATGGTTGTACAACTCTGTGAATATATTAAGAGCTGTTGAATTGTACACTTTAAATAGGTGAATTGGCCGTTGCCAGGCCATTGTGGCCATTGACTTCCTAAGCTATAGTGTGGCCATGTGCTCTTTGAGCTATGGCCGGGCCATGTTTCCTGGTTTTGGCCCCATCCCCTCCCCTACCTTGGGGAAGTGAATCTCCTCTCTTTCTCTCATTTACTTTCTAAATAAACTATATTTTCTAATCTTAAAAAAAATAGGTGAATTATATGGTATGTGAATTCAAACTCAATAAAGCTGTTTTTTTCAGTTAATATGCATAGCATATCTGAAATCTATTCCCTGGCTAGGCTCAGTGGCTCACCTTTGTCATCCCAGCACTTTGGGAAGCCGAGGCAAGAGGAATGCTTGAGCAAGCCTAGGAGTTTGACACCAACCTTGGCTACACAGCAAGACCTTATCTCTACCAAAAAAAAAAAATCAAAAAATTAGGCAGTCATGGTGGTGTGCACCTGTAGCCCTACTACTGAGAAGGCACCTGAGGAATGCCTGAGCCCAGGAGGTCAAGGCTATGGCGAGCTGTGATCATGCCACTGCCCTCCAGCCTGGGCAACAGAGACCTTAACTCAAAAAAAA